GGGGCATCTAGGTAGCTCAGTGGGTTGAGCCTCTGACTCTTGATTTCGGCTCAGATCATCATCTCATGGTTTGTGAGACTGAGACTTATTTAGGCTCTGCACTTAAAGATGAGTAGCCTGCAGGGCACATGGTGGCTCAGTCAGTTACGTTTCCGACTTCGGCTCAAGTCATGATCTCACATTTCATGGGTTCGAGCCCCACGCAGGCTCTGTGCTGAACGCTTGCTCAGAGCCTGGAGCCTGCTTCAGATTCTGTGTCTTCTTCTCTCTCTGCTCCTCCCCAGCTCATGCTCTGTCTCACTCTATCAAAAATAAGTAAATATAAAAAAAAAAAAAAGAATGAGTAGTCTGCTTGGGATTCTCTCTCTCCATCCCTCCCCCCTACCTCTCTCTCCAGATGAATGAACATTAAAAAGAAATAAAAAACTAAAAAATTCTCTTCTAAAACTTACCTCCCTTTTCCGGCACCCTCATGTGGTAAATATAGTTTCTAACAATGTCTTACTGCTGTTACTACACTATGTACACAATATACATCCAATGGCTTAAGTAAAAATTAAACAAGACACTGTCATATAATGCAGAAACTAAAAACATTAGCTATCCAATCTTAATCCACCAGTGTTTCTTTTTAAAAGGCAAAGGTATTTACAATTTTCCACTGGGTGAGTTCACAATCTTTAAAAATCAGTCTTCAGTGATAGACACTTGTGAGAATAAACAAACAAAAATATCAACCAACTACATCAACTACTTGCTAAAGAGTTGCAAAGAAGATGGAAAACATTATTCCTCTCCTTTCTAGAAACTTTTAGTCTCCCAGAAGATCTAGGAGGAAAAAAAATGAAACGGCACAAGGATACAAAAAAAGCAATCACACACAAAAGTGCATAAGCAATTTATTTGCAAATATGTAATACTGCATAAATTGGTAATTAGGTATGGTTAAACCCACAAAGTATAAAATCAAACTCTCTCCATCTCAGGTCTTATATTACCTGCATGTAGTTTCCAGGGGTTATTTTATTACTCTCAGGAATATAGACTGGTTCCTGTAATCAGGAAAACAGTTCCACAATCTTATCTTTTTCTACTTCCCAAACTCTGCTGACGCCAAAAGCCTTCTTTCCTGCATGCCCACAAGTAAGAAGAAAGAAAAAAGGAATCCAATACAGTATTTATGTAAGAGGGTCACTGTTACCTTTCCTTTCTTATTCACTGTATAATGTTCACACACAGTGGCAATTTCTTCAACCCCAGAGCAATCCTCGCTACATACCTGGGAGCTGGGCTGCTTAGGCTCATCCATTCTCCCGGGAGACTCACTTCTGGCTCTGTGTCTCTCTGTCAAGGGAACAACACTGCCGGAGGGGCTAAATCTGTTGGAAGAGGAGCAGAAAGGGGACTAATAGAAAAATAGCGTCAAGGAACGTAAAAGATGGTGATGTCTACCCCTTCTTATCCCATGGCTGAGGAAGAGGGAACAAACAGAACAACAGATTTCTCAGAAATACTTTCATGGAGTAAATATCGGATCTGATTTGAAATCAGGTTAAAAGAGGTCTGCCCTAGTAAATTTAAGAAATACAAAATGGCACAGCAGATAGACCATATGGCCTGGTGACGCTAAGGCTAAATATAAGCTTCGGTCCTTAAGGACTGGGAGAGAATAAAAGCATAAATTAAAACTGGGTCGTCTATGATTTTGTTTCTTCTATGTAACTATTAGGTTTTGGGTTGCTCCGTCTCCCACGCCCCATGGTAACTTGTTAAGAGATTTCAGACTGCTGATACAGATGGAAGTTAAAAATCTTTGCATCCAAAGCTATTACTTCTGATACAGATTTTCTAACGCTGGACACCAGTGCTGACACAGGGGAACAGTAAGTACTGTACCCAAGGATGCTTTAACTGGTAAGGACATGGGAAGAAGAGACCACCTCCAGGGGACCGAGGATATACCCTCAAAGTTTCCGTGACACATATGCCTCTTTCAAGACCAGGTGTGAACCAAAGTAATAGCTTCTTATAGTTTTCATTGTTCATGTGGTCAATTTTAATTTATTTTTAAGAGTGAGAAAAAACCCAAGTATTACCAACCAAAATTGGCAGTATTTCTTTCTTTCAACGGAGGCTTTCTTTCCACTTACTTAGATTAAAATTGTTACGTCCACCCCCCAAAAAATGTTCTGACAACTGAAATATATTAGAAAAAGAAAAGTGAGGTATAGGACATAGGAGCACTGGTGAAGAAAAGAGACTCACAGGCTTGTGGTAGCAGCAGTCAGCGATGAAAGAAAACGGAAGGGATTATCGGATGACAAAGGCAAAACAAAACAAAAATAACAAAAAAGAAAAGAAAAGCTATCCAAAAAGCTTTTTTTTTTGGAATTACTTGATTACACTAATTTAAAAAGAACAGTCACTGCTGGTACCCTACTTCCTCTAATTTGGTAGGCGGGGGCAAAGAAAGGTGAACAGCGCTACAAAGGAAAGTCCAAGTCCCCAAGGCCACCTACCTGTGTGCACTGCTGCCAGGCTCCCAGCTGATGGTCAGCTCCCTGCCTGGAAATCCGAGGAGGCCCTGGCAATTACTGATCCTAGTGTGGCTGCAGCCACTATTCTGATTCATGGAAGTGTCTAACTTTACCATAGTGCTCACAACACTGTGAATACGTCAGGACTAGGAGCTTCCTGCTTTAAAAAAATAAGAATGCAAGTCTTTTGGCACACCTCCGGTTTCCCCAGCATCAACTTATTTTGGCCAAGAACGTCAAGTAAGGAAGATGCACACTCTGTGCATCACAGAGGGCCTGCACTGGTGACGGCTGCGTGACAGCCATTGAGACAAACAAAGAAAACAAACCTTACCTGTCAATTTCACTGCTTGTTGGCCGAGCCACCTTGGCTCCTGAAGGTCCCAGAGTGTAATTTTCCTGCCCCACAGAACCATGGCCTGTGGTGTCAATCACCATGGCTGTGACCTCCTCGGCGCTACTCCCGTCTTCTCCGGAAGGCTGATTCTCAGGCCCCAGCCACTCCTCCAGGTTCTCTGTTTTGATGTGTACTGCCCCAAGAACTCTAACTTCATCGTCACTCCGGGCCCCCCGGTCTGCCACCCCTGTCTCCACGTACCACTGTCCTGCTCGGTTGATTCGAAGAATGGGCTCCCGGCTCTCTACATCAGAACTCTGTTCAATGATCTGAGGGCTGGTGGACTCCTCAGGCGGACTGAGCTCCCTGATATCCAACACAGCACTAACCTGACCTCGCCGGTTTCCCTTTGCGGCATTATGTCGTGGGCTGAGGGAACGGTTTAGAGTCGGTGTCACCCGGTGAGACTCTGGAGGTCTTTCTGGATGCTTTGTCCTCGTTTGACTTAATTCTGCTTCAACCTCTGCCACGTTAATTTTGAAGTGGATGCCCTCCAGGATCTGTGTGCATTTGTCTATAATATGCTGCATCTGCAGAAAACTGGCCGCCGTCAGGTAGCTGATGATATCCGCCAGCTGCAGGCATATCCGCCCCGTATAACAGAAAGAAAGGAGCTGCTCAAAAACAGTAGGGTTCTTAATGACTGAAATGGAAACCGTACTCATCTCATTCAAGGACATGTGATCCCGGAAATAGGGTGAGCTGGCGGCCAGTACCACTTTGTGGGCCCGAAAAGCCTGTCCCTGCACGTTGACCACAATATCGCAGAGGCGGCCCTGCATGCGCAGCTGGTTTAGGTGGCTCAGGACAGAGTTGCTGAAGTCAGGGATCTCCAGTTGTATGTTCCCACCTTTCTCCATGGTCGTGCCCGAGGGTGTAGGCAGGCATTCAACCCTGCTGAAAGAGGAAACCGTGATTGTCAATAATTAGAATTTTACTCCTCCCATGTTCTCCAATTCAAAACTACTGCAAAATATCTTATGGTAGGCTTTCAACATCTCCAAGTAAAAAGAGGGAATTTCCCTTATGTTTGGATACGGAAACGAGATACCCTTTACAACCCAAATGTGATTGCTAGACTTCCACAAATTTGACCAAGATCATACTCCCCTTACTAATAAACAGAAGTTTAACAGAACACAAGGGGGAGAACCAGTTCTGACAGTTGTTTTTTTTTTCTTTGATCATAAAGTATTTGCACACTGAATATAAAATCCTGTGATAACTTTTCTTTGGAGGAAGAATGATATAAGTTCTTTGAATAAATTTAATTACACACTAATGGACTGATTAGGTATCCCTCTTGCTAATATTTTACCACATGCTATATGAGTTATGTTTACTATTTAAAAGGTAACTGATACCCCACATGAATGTAAGCCATCATTTCGAAGCTTGAGAGTCAGAGCCCGCACAAAAAAGCTTTGGGTTTAGGACTTTGAAGCAAAGTCTAGGTTAGGAAACATGCCACGGCTGTGTCAGAATTCAGGGAAGATGCAAAGAATCTGAAGATGGGTCACGCTCAGAACTAAGAAAGGGTACATAAACTACTTCTTTCTAAATTCAAAGTTGGGTTTTTCAGGGTGGTGATGATGCTGATTCTGAAACTTAATCCCCAAAGCTGGTAAAAAAAAAAAAAATAAAGCATTTATCAATATGGCCAATATTTTTACATCAAAAGTTTTTCTTTAAACAGCTGAAAACATTACGCCTATAACTGCATCCAATAGTTTTCAATGGTTGAGAGTAGTTTGTATAAATCTCAACAGGAAGACGCTGACTTGAGCCCAACATGTTTTCATTTATCTGTAACTTTTTAAGACATTGTATAATCTAAAATCTAAATTTTCAGGAACTTATCCTGACAAGCTCACAGTATTGCCCCGCACTTACAACACACTTATCAGTAAACAGGGAAGTGTATACACTGCTTTCAAGAAGCAACTTTAGCCAATCTGACCTTTTTCCAAAGCGTTTTTGTTTGTTTTGAAACTTTTAATCCAATAAGAGCCTCTGTCGATGCCATCATGAATTCAGATGTGTTTATTTTGGAGCCTACACCAGCGCCTTTTTTGTTTGCTCTTTCCGGCAATTCCCCAGTGAGGAGGAAGCCCCTGGAGTAAGGTCTTTCTTTACCGTCGGCACTGGAAGGGTGAGAGCTGTAAGAGGGAGAATCGGGAACGCCATGGGGTTGGCCACTCCGGTATTCGAGTGGCTTTAGTCTGCGTTAGGAAGCGTGGGTAGCGGGAAACTGACACAAGGGCGAAATGTCACCGAGGAGCTGGGGAGGAGAGGGGAGCAGGGCTTGGAGCTGGGGAGCGAGCAATCAGGTGAGGGCAGAGCACCGGGAAGGGGGCGGCGCCCCGGGACCCCGTCCAGGCGGGGAGCGTAGGCGGGCGGGGAGCAGCCCAGAGGTGGGTGTGTGTATCTGGGTGTGTCCGGGCTGCGGTGGGGGAGGGGGCCGCCCATCCCGGGGTCCTGAGGGAGGGGCCCGGCGAGGGGGCGGGTCCGGCAGCTCAGCCCGGCCCGGGGCCAAGGGGGTGGAAGGTCTCCGGTGCCTGAGGGTGGGGTGAAGGGGAGTGGCTGAGCGCCCCAGGAGCAGGCTGCGGCGGAGCCCGGACAAGGCAGCCCAGGTGCAGGGCAGCGGGACCGGTGTGCGGGGCCCGAGCCCAGTCAAGGAGCAGCACCTACCTCCGGGGGTGGAAATGGGCCGGAATGGGCCGGAACACCGTCCCGGAAGTGAAACCCCCCACCCCCTCCCCCGGAGCGGGCGACGTGCCGGAAGGAAATCACTCACCCTTACACCGCCCCCCTTCCCCTCCCCCAGCGCTTTCCGTCCCTCGCGCCCCCTCCCCTCTCTTCCTTCTCAGTCGGTCGGAGGGCGGGAGCCCCGAGTCACGTGGTCTTTTGTGTCACCGCCCACAATGGCGAGTGAGGCGGGGCCAAGGGGCGGGCTTAGAGGAAGGGGGTGTGGTTGGGAGGAGGAGGAAGACATGGAAGGAGGAGCTGAAGACAGCTCTGGCCGGGGGGGGGGGGGGAAACGGTGCGTCATGACGTCATGAAAAGGCGTCCTTATATACTAGAGCCTGGCCACCGTCTCGGTCTTTCGAGGCTAGTATTCGGCGTTAGGTATGTATGTTTGTCTTCGTTTTGCGTAATGGCTTGTTGACTCGAGGCTTTCAGCTCTTGGCAGTTAAAGTCACTTAAGCTAATTAGTATTTATAGGCCGGTTGCGGGCCTTTGAAAGGTTCACAAGATGAAGATGGTAGAAGATTACACGTTGGGTGCGGGCGCGGCCTCAGCCCTACCGCTCGGGCGGAACTGCGGAAAAACCCGTGGGTTCGCGTTCCCTGCCTGTGATGAAGCCTGCGTTGGTAGGGACATCTGAGACTCTTGATGAATGCCAACGGCTCTGATGGCGGCGCGTGCCCAATCACCCGAGGGGGCTTTCGTTAATGATTTCGGCCAGGGCCTCCGGCGTTTTGCTCAGGAAACCTGCCAGTTCGTTTAGTCCACGTGGTTCTCTGAATGGCTGCTGCATTCCGCAGTACGCCATTACTTCACAGCGGTTTCCAGCTTTAATGTTTTGCACTGCTCCTTTTATAAGCTATCAAGTGGCACCGCTTGTACTGAGATTATTTATGGGTGGTGTAAACGATCTAATGTAGGTGATAGGAAAACAACATGTTTAGGCTGTAGAACAAGATGATTAATTTTAAAGTTTATTTTGAAAGAGCGAGCAAGTGGAGGAGGGGCATAGAGGGAGAGAAAATCCCAATCAGATTTCGCACTGTCAGCCTAGAGCCCAACGCGGTAAGCATAAACAGTGCGATCATGACCTGAGCAGACGTAAGAGTTGGACGCTCAACGCCTGAGCCGGTGCCACAGAGCAATACGATTTTAAGAATTTTAATTTTTCCCTAGGAATGGTGCTGGGCACGAATGCAAAGTGGCTTTTGATGGCTCCTAATGGGCAGGTAAGAAATCGGTGAATGCAGTGGAAAAGACTCAGATCTGCTTGGAGGTGGTATTTTGTTAAGCCTGTGATGGTTTAAGAGTAGTGGACAGAAGGGATTTCTGAAAAATCCTACACTGAGGCTTACATACTTAAAACCTTGATAGTTAACTTGGCTGCGCAGTATGTTTCATTGGATATTTTTTGTTTTCTAGTTTTGTGCCAAAAGGGTGAAAACGGCTGCCAAGGTAAGTTACTGAAATTCCCTCACCAAGGGATGCTGGGTTGAAAGTCCACTAAATGTGCTATAATGATGACATTTTATTTGCTACTCTTGACTGTGAGAATGACGAGATTTCTTACCACCATTATACTTAACTGAGGCACAGAAAATGGTGATTTAGAGAACTTTGAGATTGCCACTAAATTTACATGAAGGTGTTTCTTCCTAGGTCCTAAAGTTCAAGTTTCACAAGCTCCCCATGGGCAAACAGGTGAGAAACCTTTTATGTAGTCTGTGTTTACCCAGTCTTTTTCAAATGTGGATTTCTGCGCTTTGGTATTTTATATTAAATGCTTAGAACATGGAACAGATACTATGATGGTTGCATAGTTCAGCAGATTGGATCATGAAGAGAGAACGCCATTTGTCTGATGTATCGAAGTGGAAGGGAAAATTGGTTTGATAATGGCATAAGTGAGATGTCCTTAACGTAGTTTCCCTCCTTTTTTGTAGGCACTAAACAGAGTTAGCTGGAATTTGAAGAGGTGAGTAAAATTGTTATGGAATTAAAACGTTGGTAAGAGGGCAAACGTGACATTGCAACTAATGGTGTTTAGAGTTGCCTTATGCACGGAAGCAGTCCTACTACAAAGTGCTTGAATGGGTGGCTGAATGCAGTAAATAAATGCCAGACCCTTGTCCTGTGACCATTAGGACACTGTCATGATTTGTAAAACAGCCTGTGTGATGATAAGCAAATACTGACTGAACATGAAGGTCTTAATTAGCTCTACCTGATTTCAGGCATTTTTGTGTATTGTGGGAAGGAAATTCATCTTTTGCCTCTTGTGAAACTGTCTTTATTTCTTAGGTGGACTTGAGTGTTTGATACCTTTGGAGCGACAATGTTTTTTGGTCAGTATTAAAAACGTTTTAGTAGACTGAAAACTGTTAACTGAGTGCTGATGAAATAGAATGCTTAACTACTGAGTTACTAGTACTACCGGCTGCTTAGTGGGTGCATGCTGAGCATGCTATGAACGGGGTTTTTGAAATGATGTTGATCAAATGTCTGACCTGAAGTAAGCATGTAGACAAATTTAACACTGAAGAACCCTATGACAAATAACTCTGAGATGAATTCAGTGATAGTTAACATTTTAGTGAAGTGTCTTGTTTCCTTTCTAGGTTACTGGCCACTATCCCGGATGGCTTGCTTGGGTAAGACGTAAAACAGTTCTTTGGTTTCTGCACTCAAGTTCAGGTTGTGTCTGAAATGTGCTGTGATGTGTTAAATGTGTTCTGGTGTTGCAAGGAAGATTCAGCTATTCGGAAGTGCATCTAAAAAAATATTTTTTTTGTCAGGTGCTGATTTTGAAGACCTTTTTATATAAAGGTATGTTTTTTATAAACCTCCTTTGGTTAATAAGCAAGATGCTGTTAGTGATGATTTTTGAAATTAAAAACAGATGGGAATCTCTCTGAAAAAGAGTGAAGATTTCTTAAAAACTGAAACAGTATTTGGAAAACTTGAGAAATATGCTTATTATTACCTGTTACTAAATTGACTAAATTTCTGCAGGTATGAAGAGTTGGTGATTCACAAGGCCTGGAATACGGAGTTTTAAGCCAAGGTAGAGTAGTTTCAAGTTTGGTGTCTGTGTGAAGTGGTTTAAAGCCGATACGATGATGAGAACATAGTTCAGCAGACTGACGGTGGTGAGCAACATTGTCTTTCGCTCCTATCTGACGTATCTGGCTCCAGCAATCCTATCCTTAACCTTTGTAAAGGGCTGTTATTCTACCACAGAAAATGTTCAGGGCTTGGGTAACTAATGGCTTATATACAAATGTTCTTTTTTGTTTGTTTATTTTGAGAGGTGGGGAGAGGCAGAGAGGGAGAGAGTATCCCAAGCAGGCCCTGCACTGTCTGCAGAGTCCAATCTGCAGAGCTTTCCCTGAGCTCGTGACCTGAGTAGGACACTTAATTAACTGAGCCAGCCAGGTACTCTGTTGTTTTTCAATTTTAGGATTTCACATTTTAAGAACCAAATATTTGGGTAAATTTTTGCCAAGAAATTTTTATGGACGGTAAATCTGTATAGGTTACGGCAGAGTGAGTTATTGTAATATTTTAAAATGAATCAGCTTCATGTTTTAATGCAGTTTTAATATTGACCACAAAATTGAACATACAATCCCATAAACGTGGTCTTTACACACCTTCCTCAACATTCAGCACTAGAATGAGACTTTTGCTACAATTATAAACATGCAATGAGACATATCACCCAAGAACACAGCTTACATTAAAGTTCACTCGTGTTGTATGGGCTTGGACAATGTGAGACCTCCACCATTGTCCATGTGTGGAATAGGTTTGCTGCCCTAAATGTTACTTCTCAGAAAGTTAAAAGTGGGGAAAGTTAAGTAGTACAAATTTTAAATGGTTTTCTCTCCTCTCATACAAACAGGCAGACTCTCAACCTGAACATTTAGAGGTAAGTTGGTCTGTGGTACATGTGGTAAGTTAGCATGTAACCAGTGATGTAATGATTCTGCCAAATGAAATTGGATGATATCACTCCTAAAACCGTTCCATTTTGATTCTGAGGTTACTAGCAAGCATCATTCATGCAGGGTGGTGGGTTTGTTTTTTAACCATAATTAATCTACAGTCATTGCTCTTAGGTCATCTGTGAGAATAGCAGTCCAGTTAAGAGAGCATCTTGCCAGTTGAAAGGTGAGGCTTTAAAAACCTCAGTAGTGTTGTTTTATTCTAGAATACATGATGATCTCCAACTTGAACTCTCTCACTGATCACTTGATGATTATAAAAGATCTGATATTCTGTATACTCAGAATACAAGTAGAATTAAAACCTAGACATGTATCTAAAAATTGCTTCTTTGTCCTTGCAGCACTGAAATGGATGCTCATGGATGGGATAGAAGAGCAAGGTTTCAGTATCAATAAAGTTTTATAAACCATTTGATCAAGAGTGCTTATTTTGATTTAATGGGATGAAGGAAAATGGTTTTTGTAATTAAGACCCTGTGACATTAGTTTAACAAAACTAAAGTTGGCATTTTGAGATGTATTTTATAGGATATCTTGGGCTTGAAAGTGCAGAAGAAATGAACTACAGCCCTTTTCATGTTTAAAATGCAGGATGGTGGCATGATCTGAAGAATGAACTCCTATTTTGCAGGCATTTTTTGAGGGGCTGAATGATATCCTGTCCCAGAAAAATCTTTGCTAATTAGGCACCATGGTGGTGGGTCTCCACAAGTGTTGGTAGGTGTATAAGGGAAGTAACCTGGTTAGTGCCCTCCTGCCATGTATTAAAAGAAAAAAGCCTAAAAATGGGACAGAAGTGCTGTGGTTAAAGCTATTTTAGTACTTGAAGTGGGTGGGAATATTTATGTTGCAATTTCTCTTAGGACTTAAACAGGATTCAGAATTTTAGTAAGATAATGCCAGGGTGCCTAGTCAGCCCAGCGCCCCATATCTAAGATTATCTCTGCCCCTTTGCCCGGCTTGCACATTCTCTAGAACAGTATTGGAAATCAGTCTGGATAAAATGGTCACTCCAAATGTTGAGGTCTGTTGGAGGTGAATTTTGATGCTTTCAGAGTGAGGAAATTGTTTTGACCTCTCTGTTAATAGTCAAATTGACATCCACACTTCAATCTTTTTTCATGTAGTACTGCTAAACCCATCAGACTTAAAAAAATTTTCTTAATGTTTGTTTTTGGGAGACCGTGTGAGCACAGGAGGGTTAAAGGGCAGACTGAAGCAGGCTCCAGGCTGAGCTGTCAACACAGCCTGGCCCACAAACTGGGAGGTCATGACCTGAGCCATTAGTTGGATACCTAACTGAGCCACCCAGGTGCCCCCACACTTTTTTTTTTTTTAAATATTTTTATTTATTTCTAGGAGAGAGAGAGAGAGACAGCGTGAGCAGGGGAGGGTCAGAGAGAGAGAGGGAGTCACAGACTCTGAAACAGGCTCCAGGCTCTGAGCTGGCAGTCAGCACAGAGCCCGACGCGGGGCTCGAACCCACGAACCGCGAGATCATGACCTAAGCGAAAGTCGGACGCTTAACCGACTAAGCCACCCAGGCGCCCCGCCCCCACACTTTTAAGTTGCTTCTGCAGGGAAGGTCAGGTGATCCATGTTACTTAATTGCTTTCAGTTCCAGTGCCCATGCCAATGTTTTCAACAGGCTGAGGCCCTCTGAAGCAGGAACCGCCACCTGGCTCTAGCGCTCATTTCATAACTACAGTTGTGACTATTCTTGGCATTACGTGCTTTGTTTCCCCTAGGAGAATGTAAACTCCATGAGAGGGTTTAAATCTTGTTGCAGTATTTCCAAGCTTTTCCTTCGGGTAGTATTAGTGATGGAATTAAGTGTCTGAGAAATAGCTAGTGGATGCCAAAAGATCATGACCACGAAACTGGTCTATGGCTTGGATGACTGCAAGTAGATTAATGACTGGTTGAAAATCATTCCAAAATGACTAATGAAATAAATTTAAAAAGGCCTCTCTACGATATTAGAAACCCCAGTCTTGTTTTTAATAAACCTGAGTGAGGGAAGAGAAAAATAGCAAATTTGAGTGTTAATATATGTTTAAACCTTGACTTAATCATAATGACAGCAAGTGAGGAATTTCCTCTATTTTAGATAAATGTCCTCAGGATCAAGTTCCCAGAGGCCGAACAGTAAGTTGCAGTATAAGAACATAGAGAACACCTGTCACAATCTTAACTGACCATTAGTATGCTGACGATAATTATCTTGGAGGACTGAGGGAGGGCCCAAACCACTACAGGCAGGAATGTTAAGTCCTGTTGCCTTCTGGTCTGAAACGTCCCAAGACTTTGTATACTTAGAATCAGGGGAGAGTGGGCTTGACAGAAGATAAGAGTTGGAGGCTAATGGAACACTAACTCCGTGATCTCCAAATGCGGGGCTGGGCTGACAAAATGGGCACCTGGGTGGCTCAGTTGAGTGTCTGGCCCAGGTCTTGATCCCAGCCCCGTGTCTGGCTCTGTGCTGTGTGGATCCTGATTAAGATTCTTCCTCTGCCCCTCTTGTGCAGCTCTCTAAACAAAATTATAACAAAGCAAAAACCCTAGTGTGACCTTAGCCTCTGGCACTGGGTGGGAGGTTGGACTTCCTCAAATTATGAGGTGCTCTCCAATCCTTGGAACCTATAATCCTGAGGAAGGCGTGGGATGGGTGTGTAGGGTACTGTTCTATTACTGGTAATTCTAGTTTGAGAGATACCCACATTTATTTATACTTCCAAGATCATTATTTGATTTGGTTCTCTGAAAGTTACACCCATTACTAAGAGCCCATCTGAGTTATTTTCATTGAACAGAAAGGGCTTTATGTGGCACTTAATGTAGACAGGGACATGCATCAAGGACTCTACTAGGTACCTTCATACATAACCTGAGGAAAGGATCTGTGCCTCCATGTAACTGTGTGAAACAAAATACAAGAGTTTTTAAAAATTCATTTATTTTACTATTTCCAGGCTTGTGTAATTTTCATGGTAACACAAAATGGCCCTATTCATTTTTAGAGTGTAGATATCATTTAGCGTGGTGGAAAAGACAGGCACCTTGTAAACCCAAATGGCAAAAATAATGTTTCTGGTAACAGTGAGAAAAAGATCCCTAAAAAAATGTACTCTAAATGTAATCAAGTTTTTCACGTCTTGCTTTCTTTTGTACTTGGCTGTCTTTCTTCCAGGTATTAAAACCCAAGACTCTGCTATGGTCAAACTGAGCCCTTCTCCATACAAAACAGTTAAGGACAGGTCTTACAATGATGCTTCTGCCCTTTGATTATGGGCAAAAAAAATAAATATTTAATAAATCTTAATTGCTACTATAGTGAAAGAGCTCTATAGAGCATTCTGAGGTCCTTCAGTTTTGAAGAGTGTAAGTGCTCCTGAGACCCAAAGGTTTGAGGACTGTGTTCTAGGTTAAGACACAGGAGCCTTGAGAGCTTAAGTGGCTGGGTAAAGCTGCATAGCTGGAGCATGGGAAAGTGGGAATTAAATTCACGTTTGTCCAGCTCACATGGGCTCTTTCTGAGTTCACTGTCAGATGAGGAGGAGTGACTCAGATGTGCACTATCACATGATTTACATATGCGACTGGTGCACAGCTGTCTCATTGGATATTTTTGCTGGGTACCTGGTTATTTCTCATGTTACTAAGTAACTTGCTTTCCTCAAAATAATGAGGAAATGGGTTATGCTTAAAAAAAAAAACAGTAGCAAGGAACGTAATCTGTGTTACAGCCTTCTGGCTCTTCAGAGAAGGGAATGCTGGAAAAGACAGAGCAGCTGTACAGACACTTTTATTCAACCCAAGCCCGAGAGCATAAGGTAATCCCCTCAGACTCATCTGCCAAACCCCACCCCCACCAGGAGAAACTGTTCATAAGAAAGTTCTCTTGAAGCCAATAATAACTTGATGTTGTGACTGGCACTTGCTTATCTTGTTTTTATTTTTTATTTTATTTTTTTAAATATTTTTATTTTATTTCTAGGGGGGAGAGAGAGACAGCGTAAGCTAGGGAGGGTCAGAGAGAGAGGGAGATACAGACTCCTAAATAGTCTCCAGGCTCTGAGCTGGCAGTCAGCACAGAGCCCGACGCGGGGCTCGAACCCATGAACCGCAAGATCATGACCTAAGCGAAAGTCGGACGCTTAACCGACTAAGCCACCCAGGCGCCCCGCTTATCTTGTTTTTAAAACTGACAACACAGGATAAATCTAAATTCCCGAGGAAAGTGTGGAGATAGGATTTGCAATAAACTCAGCATCCAGTTTATAGTCAGATAGTGCATTTTAAAATGCTAGTCGTGTTGTTTTCAACTTTATAATTAAGTAGTTCCTTAGTTTTTTGAGAAAAGGCTTAATTTAAAATTTTACCCCACCTCAAAGATAAAGATCTAAAAGAGTTTATTAGGGAATCTAAATTTCCCTGGATTTCAGAATAAGCATTATGTTTTTTTCCTGAAAGGCAAGACTGAAGAAAAGCTGATGTCCCAAATGACTAGGTCTCTGAGAGAACAATACAGGATTGTTTGACTTCTAAGGACAAGGGTCCTTTGGTATTTGCAGTCAAGAAAATAATCTCTGGATTTCAGGTGTCCTCTGTAACTCACTTACAGGAAAGAAACAACAATTGTGGTCAAAATTACACAGTCAACAGTGAGTTTATTACATTTATCCCATGGGGGATAAACAGATGTATATTGCATTTACCACCTCTTAAAAGAATTTCTAGAATATCTCTCCACTAAGAAAGGGTAGGCAGACTCGGACACCCTTTCTTGCCATGACAGCCCTGCCAGCAAGAATTTTCTGGCTCCAGAGTACACCCACAGATGGGGAGGTAGGGCTCAAGGACAACCATTAGAGAAAAGCTCCACCTAATGGCGAATCACTTTCTGTCACTGTGAAGAACATTCACTCTTGATCTACTGGGCACGACAGATTAGACCTGGAAGTGAAGATGATTTTATTTTCCAAACAGAAACAACCATCGGATTGCACTGCTTAGAGCATTAAGAAAAACAGGCAGGGATAGAAGACTGATACTTGGTACTTATCTTTTTTTTCCAATGTTTTACTTATTTTTGAGAGAGAGAAAATGCAAGTGGGGGAGGCGCAGAGAGAGAGGGAGACATAGAATCTGACATAGGCTCCAGGCTCTGAGCTGTCAGCACAAAGCCTGAACAGGGCTCGAACTCACAAACTGTGAGATCGTGACATTTAACCACCTGAGCCACCCAGGCACCCCAATAACTTGGTACTTACAAATCAAAATGTCAAGGCAAAAGTGGAGAAAGTAGAAAAGGCAAAAGTAGAAAAGAATACTTTCATTAATCAAGGCCTTGTTCTCATTTCATAATTATAAGCTTTTATTAACGTCACAGAATGTATAAGAAAATTACAATAG